GGCGGGGGGTTCTACTCAGCCGCCGCCGCATCGGCCCCGCGGGCCGGCGAGGGGCCTTTCCCCTCGCCCGTGGGCAGCGGCTTCGTACGGGTCGGTGGGAACCTGGGGCCGAGAGCAGAAAGTGAAGGAGCTTTGTCCGCAGGATCAGCCCGAGAACCCGCTGGGGAACATTCCTAATGAGCAAAAGTAAATCTTGGCAATTTTATTTCCCAGCAGTTGACCAGCTAGGGAAAAAAAACCCCAAACAACCCCAAAACAAATCAATAAAAGTATTTCAGCCAACGGATGGTAGACAACCTGAATGTTCGTAGTTTTTCTCTTGGCATCTTTGGGTAGCTCTTGCCATAACTGGAGGCTTATGCCCACATTTCCCCAAACCTGCGCTAATACGCCTAAGAACATAAGTTAAATACACTCGGTTAACTTAGTACAATTTTTTTTACAACAAACGTAATTTGTGTGCATCATCTTAAAGTAAGGGATTCCAAAATACTCCATTTAACATCAATACGCGTGTGCCACAGAGGTATAATGTGTAAACAGGTCTTTTGACTTTGGGGTCACTTCTGCCCCTACTGACCTGTAGGACCACGGGCAAAGCTCCTTTTCACCTGCCCTTTTTGGGTGGGTTTTAGGAAACATGCCGTTTCTCTTGTTAAAAATGCAATGTAAAAAAATCATATAAATCCTGTGAGGGACCTGCTCCCTCTGCCACTGGGTTTCCGAACTGCTGCAGATAGGGGATTGATGGTCCCATGCAGCGCTGTCCTCCTCTGATGGGCTCCCTCCCTACGTAGAAACCAAACTGGGAGTAAAAACAAATGATGTTATTTGGGTACTGACTCACTTTGCGTGGAAATAATGTCCCATGATGGCCATGCTAAACCCCAGCGTTCTCACCAACCTGCAGAGCAGTGACATTTTACACCTCTGTCACGCTTTAGAGCTATTTACGAGTGTCGGCCAACATCCCACTGTGGTAGGAAAATGCTATTAGCCTTTTTTCACATCAGGGAATAAAGACAAGTTAAGAGGCAGGGAAGGTCTGCAAAAAAGGTTCAGCTTCAGACGTGGAAGCAGAAATGGGGATTTCCTGGATCTCGGACCCAGGCAGGATCCCTGCCCATCCCGAGGCTGCTCCAGAGAGGTTCCAGCGCTTGTTTAAAATCCACATCGATCGATCTGTCCTGCATGACCCCAAGATTTACCTCCCTAAATGCAGCTGATGCTTTTTTTTCCAATATCATATTTGCAAACTGTCATCCAAATTATAATATGTCACCAATGTGCAATTACCAACATTTAAATATATCTATACATCTTAAATATAGCACTGTTTAAACTAAGGATAGGTTATTATTTCAGCAAGCAACATCTTACTGCTTATCCAACACTTTATAATCATGGTGCGTGCAATATGGCACGAAGAACAATGGAGCCTTCATGGGGCCCGGGGCGGCCGACCATCTCTGCGGGCACAGGTATGCAATGGAGAAGTCCTGATTTCACCCAGAGTGCCATCCATTTCAGCTCCTGCAACAAGAGTACATTGTTCTGTGCTCTAACGTGGGCAAGAAAAACAGAGCACTCAATTGTACTTGTCATAATGCACATATAATTTATAGTAATGTTGGTTATTAAAGGATTTCTAGTAATTAACAGCAATGTGCTCTTTCACTGCTGTCCCGTTCCCCCCCCCCCCCTTTTTTTTTTTCTCTTTCATAATAACAAACATTCCTGGGAGATGCTCTGGAACGCATCCTATAGGTCTTGGCACAAAAGCTGGAGAGAAGCTTTTGAAAACCTGCCAGTCTTATCTGACATGGATCTCCCAGGTACTATATAAAGCCAAATCCTCTTGGGCCCAGGAGGACCGTGGGTGGCCGGGAGGGCACCAGCACCAACATCTTCCCAAAGCCATACTGCAGCCGGGGTGGGGGGAGAGGGGCCAGAGCTGCCATTGCATCCATGCCAGCACGGTCAAAGGCATCGGCAGAGCCCAAACCTGCGGGCATGGACCATGATGCTCAGGGTTTTCAGTAAGGAAAAATAATCTCATCATTTTCTGCCTTTTTTTCTCTCTAGTATTTCATACACTTCCGGTCAAAGAGAAAGATGCAGAGGTAAAACACAAAACTAATAACTGCCATTTAAGTAATGTTTTAACAGCCCAAATGGTAGACTATTTTAATGCCTGGGAAATGGGGTTGAGACGGGGACCCCGTTGACTCGATGCCGAGAGGCGGTGAAGGCTGGGGGACACAATGCACACCCGTTTCACCGCCCAGGAATGGGGGCACAGAGCGCACGAGCCTAGCCAAAGAAACCACGACAAAACTGCTGCGGCAGAGCAAGGGGCTCTGCCAAAAACTAAAATGCCTCATAAAATCAGGCTGGTTTTGCTGGAAGCTGATTTTGAAAGGAACCAGAGAAAAAAAGTTTTGACAACATCAGAATGTCCCGTTTCCTTTGTTTTAATGACATTGCCATGATTTTCCAGTTCAAACCGACTTTTCATTTTACTCTTGCAAATGTTATACTCTGTGCGGTAACACACTGTGATAGGACTTTGGACCGTCTTCAAAATGGAAAAAGCTAAAATCAGAACAAGGCATTTTGATAAATCCAAAGTTAAAAAAAAAAAAAAAAGTCTGAAGAATTTTCCTCTATGGAGAATTTCACAACCGCTGGACTCCATGCTCCCAGACCTGGGCATCTTGAAACTCTTCATGTGGAGGATGTGATCTCACCCCACCACCTCGGCACGTGCCACCGTCCCGGGCGGGCTGCAGCCACGGCAAAGCCCATCCGGGCTCCTCTGGGCTCAAGTCGTAGCCACCCTTTGCCACCACTCCTGGGACATATGCGAGGGCATGCTTCAGCGGAACGCACAGGTTGTTTCATATCACCGTACGCTGAGTTAAGACCTGGGATTTGCTACCTTCACGTGTTTTCCAGTCGGCAATAAATGCAGTTTGCAGATGGCTCTGAGATAGCCCGAGGTCAGTGGTTTGCACAAACTGCTCTGAAAACAGGGCTTAGCTTCAGCGCGGTGGATTCACCTGCGGGAAGCACAGCTCACGTCCCGCCGACCTCGCACCCCAAAAGTGGGTTTGCACGTCCCACTGCAGCAGGGCTTGTGCACAGAGGATGCATGCACATGGCAGCATCGCACCCAGACCCCGACCTGCTCGAGGCAACCCTGCTGTGTGTGATGATGCACCGTGGCCACCGCCAGTGTGGGCAGACAGGCTGCCCAGCCGCTGGCAGGGACGGCAGGCGCCCATGCGACTTTTGCCGGCATCCCCACGGGGAGCAGAGCAGCCGCATGTCTTTTCCTGGTGAAGCTGGGACATTGCTGCACGAGCCTCTTCCCTGCCAGGAGGTGCCCAAGTCAATGCATTTATATCCCAGCACAGCGATACAGCTGGGAGGGTTTTGCACTTGTAAAGTTTGCACTAGCACCTTTCCTCCAAGTGGGATGAAAGTTTTGCCATCCAGTGACCCCAGCCAAATCCCCACCGGATTCAGTGGCACTGCGGTGGGTGCTGCATTCACTGCCCAGGTCCAGCCAGTCCCACGGGGCTCTGGGGGTGACTGGGGGCCACAGCAGCCAAATGGCTTAGGGATGAGTTGAAATTAAATATCCTCCAAAATTTATCACAATCAGGAAGGGGACGGGGGGAAAAAGGGACAAAATCTGACAGAAATTTGCCAAATACCACATTTCACCAGACCTGAAATTAATGTTAATGGGTTAATGGAAACTCCACAAGGCAAGAGCTGCTGAGTTTCCAGGCTTTTCAAGGCCCTTCCCACGAGTATCTGCTGTGGGTGGGGACAAGCTGACTCACAGTTTCCAGGGCTGTAGTAACATTTCAACACCCCAGCGTTCCAGCCTTGGGGACTGATGGCAAAGAGCATATTCCCAGCAGAGTGGTTGGGAAGTTTTTTGACAACATGTTTTCTTGTGTCAGAAAATGTCAGTTTGGCAAAACCAAAACTTTTTTTTTGGTAGCAAACTACCAGATTCCATGAAGTGCTGCTTGGAAAAGTTGCCTGCGCTCAAGCCTGGATTTCTAGTCACACCCACAGAGGTAAAATCATCTCCCAACAGGTTGTCACCAGTGGGTGATGGCACCCATCCATGGTGGTCCCCACCCCAGGAGAGGCCCCTTGCTTGGAACAGGGACATGGACTCTCGCATCCCAGGAGAAACCTGGCTCTATGGGTGATTGCAGCCCCATTTCTTTAAATCTCTCCTGGGTGGAGCTGGGCCAAGTTGTACAAATAATTACGCAGTTATTCAGGGAGAAAGAGTCCGACTTTAACACTGGAAATGAGAGCACCCATCTGAGATATGGGATATTAGGTTCAGTTCCCTGTTTTGGGTCAGGACAAACAGGGATTGAACCACAGGTCAGGCCAGCGCCATGAGGACAGGATTATCCCCTGTGCTGCTGCTTTCATTTTGTAGAAAAACAAACTCCAGCCATCCCAATAAAGTCCTGCTGCAATCCAAGGAAAGCACTGGTGTCTCAGGTTTTGTAGGACAGAAAGGCTGCCTTCATCCAAACCTAATGCCAGCCTCCACAGCAGAGAAAGGTGGGTTTTTTCCCCTTAATAAAAGCTGTATTTCCATCTCTCTCGAGCTGCCCCTCTCCCTGAACACGGCCGGAGGGACCTTGTTCAGTCCCACTGCCATGTGGTGTCATTTCACATTCAGCCAGAGATGAATAGTCACGCACTTTCTCCATTTGAAAAATAAAGAACAGCTAGAAATGTATCCTTGCTATGAAGTTTCGTTATTAAATGTTCCAGGCTGTGAGAAGTGAAAAGAGAAATTTTGGGGAGTA